AGCTCGTAGCTTAGCTTCTCAGCGTAGCTGCTTTTAACGAGCCAAAAACCTGATTTTGGATTGTTAAAAATAGATTTTAAAGAGAAAGGGAGGAGTCAGTGAAGAGCACCCGAGTTGAGCCGTGTCTTGAGTAGAAAGAGAGACACGAAGAAACAATAAAGCCGATAAATGAAAATGAGGTCGATAATTTTCATTTATCATGTGATTAATTGATTTATTGTTTGTCGCGACAGGCCTAACTCTTGCAATATTTTAAACAAAGTTTCTAAACTCTAAATGCTCTAAAAGAGCACAGCATGTCATGATTTCAGCTCACTGCCTCCCGCTGCACTCTTGGCCACGCCCACTTCTCCGCTCTGCACGGACATCAGCTGCAGGAGGAAGCTTCCAGGTGCTAAATAATTTTAAATAATTTATTTTAAATTTAAAAAAATTCATGCCTATTGTGCGGCTCATCCATCAATCAGCCAATTGGGTGTCGTGTCAATCTTACGTTGAAAAACCGCGAAAGAGCGAGTCCACGAACAACGAACCAGGAAGTAGCGAGGGACTACTGTATCGCCACTTCTTCAAATTATTACAGAAAACTCTTTATATAAAACTGAACAGAATCATAACATCAGTAGTCAAACCAAGTAGCAGGGCTTCATTTGTAAACTGATCGATGCCGCAACGCAAAAAGTGGGCGGGGCCGGGGGTCCTCCTCCAGAAAATATTGAATAAAGTAGATGTGATTACCTGCATTTTTTGTGTATTTTAACAGGTTGTTAAACATCTAGGTGCTTGTGAAAATAAAATAAAAGTGGGGGATTTTTTTGCAGACCCCCCAAGCACAGGTTCGCGGACCCCCCGGGGGGTCCAGGAACCCCAGTTTGAGAACCACTGGTCTAAAACATGGGTCTGCGACCTGTGGCTCTTTAATCTCTCATTTCAAGCTTTGACCAAAACTAACGTGATACTGTGTTTATTTTCTTTATACTACTACTACTACTACTACTACTACTACTACTACTACTACTACTA